CTTTGTTTCAAAACTTTGTAACTGCACTTACTCTAATATTTGACAATCTTCTTTGAGTTTCGAAAGTCTCTGTTTCAACAAATTCTTTTTGCTCTCTCATTTTCAAAAGTGTTTATTGACTTTTAAAAGTATATCTGAACTAAGCTCACATTTGATAGATTCCTTTATCTTTTCTTCCACGTTTCCTTCTGTTATTCAAAAATCCCTCTCTCTTTTAAAAAATGCTCTCTCTGAACTCTAATGTTCTCCATAAACTTGGCCAGCATTAATTCTCTGTCACTTTTCATTATTCTGGAAACCAACTGCTCTTATTTCTAATGTTATTCACTCTATTCTCACCCCATCTCCTTAACCCAAACTCCTGATTTCTATGCCTAAATTAATTATCATCAATTTCTCAAAATCACGATAGCTTTGTATATTTTAAAAATACTTTTAGTTTATAGATAATTCAATATACTTTCTATCTCTGAATTTCAAAACTCTTTAAATAATTTCAAAAGTCCATGGTAATAATGTTAGAACATTAAATACATATATGTTCTTACATTAAAACACTACCCAGTTGAAAAACTCTTTCTTCCATCTTTTTTGAGTAATGCAATTGTTGGAGTTCATTAATTTTGAGTAAAGTAAGATTATGTCAAAAGGGACGGATTTATGAGTCTAATTGATACATCTCTAACAACTAGTATAAATACGCTAGTTTATGAAGACATAGACAACAAACAAGAGATTTACGCAAACAAACTTAAGCTTCAATTTTCTTGTCTATTCTCTGTGTATTCATTTATTATACTTCATTGATTATATATCTATTCTTTAAGAAAACTTTTACATATACTTTAAGAGAACTTTTACAGTAGTAAATTGCTTGTGTGATTTTACTCTGTTTTTTTTTTGTGAGTGACAACTGGATACTTCATTCAATAAATAATGTGTACAAAAGAATATACAACTACATAAAAAACTAAAAGGCAAAAACCAGAAGCCACCACAATTAAGTTATGAGAGGTTGGTCATACAAGTTAAAATCATTAGTAAAACTAAGTTAATGTAGTTAAGTAATCAGCCATCTTATTATCATCTTTAAATAAAACATGAAGTTGGACATCTCAATCTTTGCTCAAAAGGTTCTTGGTTGAACCAATAATATGTTGAAAACGATAATAATTATGATTTCCTTGTGATAGTAGAAATGGCGTTTGCATAATCATAAAAAGATCTCCACTATCTCTGTTTTTCATATACTTAAATAGAGTTTTACGATATGAAAAATTAAACAGGTTATTATATTACTTTTATAAGGAAAAGTGATTTAGACAAAAGTTTGTATAGTAGTGAAGCTTTCTACAGCCCAGATCAATCTTGGAGGAATTAATAAAAATGTCTCAAATGGTAAGACTTAGAGATTGGATGAAATCAACTGGTTAGCCAAACCAACACAAATCTTTCATGTTTATTTCTCTTTTCCCTACTTCAAATTTATGGCGATATATATAAATTTCCTACCTTTTGCTCTTTTAATTAAAGTTATTATTTGTCAACAATTTTTTATGCCCAATTAACCCTTTTCTTGGGCACATTTTCGGTAAAACCCATCAAACACTTTGAATTTGACTAATTATTCATGTTAACATGGTTTCTTTTTGAATTATATGAAATTTTATGCTCATCTATTACATTAATTAGTTGGACTCCATATTTCAGTGCATGCTGCATGAAATTTGACAAATGAATCGCATTGTAAAAAATTCATTTTTCTCAATGTTAATATTTTTTCCTTGAAACTTCTAATGTACAAATCATTTATGTTATAGGGCTTTAAACCATTCCTTAAACAATCGTACATACCACATCTTTAATCAAAGGTGAATTGATTTTAAGCAATAGAGGTTCAAACTTTTGAATGCAATTATTTCTTCTCCCCGCAGAATGAATGTAACTATTTCAATCATTATGTTCTTTCGTAAAACAAAATTTCACTGATAAATTTTAAATGTAAAAAAGATTATGAAGCTTCACTAGTGAAAAAATAGCTATATAAACATACATTTGTAAACTGATGCATCCACAGACAATATAAAAAATAGAAGCAATGACATTTTCATAATTAAATGACTTATCTTTAGTATTTTCTAGATTGACTTTACAAGGAACTAATCTAAAAAATATTTACTAGATGGGTTATAGATATAACCGGTCTAGAAGATATAGTTTTCTTTTTTTTTTTTTGCAAGGGCAATTTTTTATTTTGTAGTTTTCAAATTTGGCTTCCGTGAAACCATTTTAAAAAATGTTTTTCTATTTAAAATTAAATTAATGTATAAGTTTGTAAACTAATTGCGCAGATATCCAATTTAAAAAGTATTTTTTATTAATTTTTTAAATATCTTTCTAGACTGGTTGTTTTCACAGCCAATCTAAAAGGTATTAAAATATTTAAAAAATAATATTTAAATACTTTCTAAATAAGTTGTTTTCATAAGGGAGTTACTACCTTGGGGAAAGAAAAGAAGATGAGTAAGTAAGTATAGGTGAGGAACCTTAAAGTTTATTTGGTACATAAGCCTCAATTTAGAGGGATTGGTATTAAGATTGATAGTGAGATCGGTATTGAGAATGAGACTTTAAAATTATATTTGGCATGAGGTAATACTTGCATAGAATAATCAAACAAATATAAAATATGAAAAGACTATACTACCCTTTAAAATAAAAAAAAACTATAACACCTTCTCCCGAAAAAGCAACCATAACAGCATAGGGTTCATCTTCTCCACATCTTCGCAATTGTGCATCTTTTGAGAGAGGGGGATTGAGTTTAGACTTGTGAGAGAAGGAGATGAAAGTAGTCGTGAGATCCATTCATGAGATCTAAATGATGGTGGATACAAGATAGGAGAAGGAGAAGGCAGTGGCAGTTGCAAGATCCAGACATCGTGGCTGTAAGATCTAAAGGTCAGCTGTCATGAGAGCAGAGAAGGAGAAGGTTGTGGCGGTTGCAAGATCCAAAGGCCGTGGTTGCGAGATCGAAGAAGGAGAAGGCATTGGTGTTGGCCAATGGCTGTGAGATTAGAGAAAACGAAGGTGGAAGACAAAGAGGACATGTACCAAAAATAGAAGGTATTTTGATATAAGAAAATTCAATTTCAGGCTTAAATTTTCAATACCACCTCTTCTCATGAGTTTCATTAATCTTATCTACGTGGGTTTTATCAGACTCAAGGATTTAAGAATCTATCAGTCTCAACCTCCCAATGCATCCTACCAAACATAGTTTAAGGATATGTTTGAAAATGGTGAACAAGGAAACTCAAGTGCCTAGAGTTAAAGGTTGCATCAATTGAATTGAAAATCAGACTGGCCGGTAGGACTGATAATTCGGCGAAGCATATGAACCAAAAGACAGGCGACCCACAATTAACTTGGCATAATCCATTCAACTCAATGACACCTTTTGGGGAGTTTCTAACAAAAAAATGTTCTCAAAGAAAATACAAAGCTCGACCAGGATGTCACAAACGAAGATGATTAATTGAAGAAAAAAAAATGTACAAGAAGAAAAGAAAGATTGTTGAACAATACCGAAAAAGTAGCAGACAATGAGGAAGGAGAAGCACCCAATCATCTGCTAGCCAGCGTACTAAAAAGAATGAAAAAGGAATACAAGAAGGCGAAAGGGACGACGAACTGAGAAAGAATGGAAGTAGTAGAGAACAAGACAAACAACGCCTCCCTTCTTCATAAATCCAAAGCTATGTTATTGTACTGTGGAGGTTTGAGGACCAGAAAGGTAATTGGATTAAAAAAACTTTTAAATATTTGAACTATTATCTTAACATGACAGTTGAGCTTATTTTCAAAGGACTCAATCTTTATTGAAATATTAACTTTTATAAAATTAATGTTTATTCTAATTTAATGGAAGTTTTATTATGTGTTTATCATGAAATTATCAAGAAATTAAAGTTACCCATTCTCTAAAATTATCAAGAAATTAAAGATCTCATTATAAAATATTAGGTGATTAGTTTTGATCGGAGAAGCTAATAAATGTATCAATTTGAGATAACTTTAATATTAGAATTTTTGATAATCTCTCACCTGAATATAAAAACTTTATATTTTTAAATATGATTTAATATCTATTTTTTTTATACAGTTATGTCATGGCCTTGTATTAGGTAAAAAAGTTATGTCATTGTAGATGAAAACCAAGAGAGGGAAATCAATAATAAGAGAGAAAGTATATTTAAATTAATTAATAAAATACTTTAAAAAAAATAAATGGGGGACAAATTGAATGAATTAACTACTTTTTCCACTCCTACCTACATAAGCCCATCAAGAAATTTAATTGAGTTGAAATAATTTTTTGTTCTTTCTAAATTCGCTTGAGGTATTTTTGGGGGAAAAAATTTATTAAGAGTTGATAAGAGTATTTTTGCCAAAAAAAAAATTTAGACATCATAAAAATTTAAATTATACTAAAAAAATTATGCATCACATATATACATAGGAATTGAGCGAGTATTTTAAATGTTCTTTTAGTGAATCATATTTGAGATTGGAGGGATTTTTGTTGTTTGCTTCATTAGATTTGTTAATACTACAAAGATCAAAATTGGAACTTGAACGACTTTGGGTGAATTCATTTTCTCTGGTTGGAAACTAAATTAAGGGATGAAGCTGAGCGCTTCTCACTGGAAACTTGAACTCGTGACGTTGTATCTTCAGTGAAAAGTCTATTTTTTAATGTTTGTGCTATCATTCTCATACAAGAGCCATGCTAACAGTGAGAAGCCTATTTTTTGATGTAGTGCCTTGTGTTCATGGGATATTTTCACTGCTTGTTTTTCTCCCTTTAAAGATGTGATTATCTAATTTTTCTTTTTTAACATTTTATTGTACATGTTTCACTTTTTATCTAAAAAGATTGGATGGAGAATGAGTGCCCAAACAAAGTTATGTATAAAAGAGCTCAGCAGTTTGATGATTTCATTCTACGGAGAAAAGCCGACAGCATGTGAACGCCTCGAGTACTTCAAAGTACTCAAGCTCGCAAATCCCCAAGAAATGTTGGCGCAAGCAAAGCAGGGCAAGGCCAAAACACCCCAACTTTCTGGCACTGTTGTTCTTCTCTCTCTCTCTCTCTCTCTCTGTGAATTAAATGCGCTCTTGAGAGAGAGAGAAAATCCAATTCCTCCCTCAGAAACAGAAAAACCCCAAGAATTTAATGCAGCAGCTGAGATTCCCACCCACCCTTTGCCCTCCAAAATCCCTCCCCAATTTCCTCCTCATTCCCCTTCTTCTCCTCTTCGTCCTACTTCTTCTTCTTCTCCCTCAAATGGACACTTTCACAACCTCACTTAATCCTTCTCATTCTTCTTCTTCTTCGTTCTCTTTCGCTTCCCTTTTGTCCCCATGTCCCTCTTCATCAACCCTGGCCTTGGCTACTCCATTGCCATCGCCCTCGCCTTCCTCGTCCTTGCTTCCACTCTCATTCTCTCTTTCTACCTCTGCTGCCGCAACCGTAACCGCAACCCCAATTTGAATTCGGACCCGAATCCGAACATGAACCCATCTGGGTCCAATGCGGGATCCGAGGGTATTGTTCTGCCACGGGTGATTTTTGTGGCGGAGGAGGAGGATGATAACGAGAGCGCCGTCGTGGGGCTCGACGAGAACGTGATCAACTCGTACCCGAGGCTGCAGTACAGCAGGGGAGCTATGGGTGTTGGGAGCAGTACGATGTGTTCGATCTGTCTGTGTGAGTATAGAGATTCGGAGATCCTGAGGATGATGCCGGAGTGTCGCCATTACTTCCACCTCTGGTGCCTTGACGCTTGGCTTAAGTTAAATGGGTCGTGCCCTGTTTGCCGGAACTCGCCGCTCATGACGCCGATTTCGACGCCTCTGCAAGAAGTGGTGCCGCTCTCTCAGTACCCGGCTGATCGGAGGCGACGGAGGTGACCATTTTCCTTCTTGGATTGTTCTGGGTTCGCTTCTGAAGGGTGTAAATCTTCTGGGTTGTCGGAGATGATCAAGTTTTTGCCTTTTTTGAATGGAGTTTTTTTCTCTTTGTCAAATTTTCTTTTCTTCATTTGGAAGAGCTGAAAATAGGGAGTGGAAGAAGAGATTGGAGGGGTAGTAGTAAAAGTTGCCGTACTCACAGGTGAAATGTCATTTTGTTTGATTAAAATAGTGAAATGAGAAATCAAGCGATGTTTGTTATAACTTTTTGAGCTTGCCTTTCACATATTCTCACTGGGTTTGTTTCTCAATTCTCTCTATAAAATTTCTGTGTCATTGCCGAGAAATAAATGCTTGACAAGGCATCATTCTCTACAATCTTATAATGGATTGCTATCTGCATTATGAATGATGCTGATTTCTCATTCGTTACCATTTTGTTTGTTTCCTGCGTTGACTGGCTACCTACTAAAGTCAGTGTCAATTTGACTTCTAGTTGAACATAGTTGTTGATTAGTATTCATCATAAACTTCATTCTTTGAACTTTCCCCTCCAGTAAGGGAAAACGAGATTTATGCTTTTTTGCTTGCCTTTGTTTACATTCATGGCTCCACTTAGTTGTCCTCATCGGAGACAGCTTGGATTTGGTCCCTACCGTGGGGACATGGTTTCTGCTTCTGTCTCCTATAATGTTTTTTACTAGGACCCTTTTGCAGAGTTTTTAGATTAGAGATTCTATGTTCTTTTTCATTTTATCTGTGAGATCTGTCATGTCTATGCAATTATTATTATATATTGGGTGTTATGCATTGTTCAAAGCCCAAGAGCAAGCTGCATTATTTGACTTTTGAACGGCATGATGGTTTGCTAGAGTTTTTATCGGTGTAGATGCGTAGTTTTTACTTTTCTTATTATTTTCAAAATAGAAACGTGACCGTGTGCTGTTTTATACGTTTAAACTGTTAAGCAGGTCAATGAAACTAATAATCTGATCATATTGACTCAGGCCGCCCGGAAAAAAAAAAGAAGGAAAAAAAAAAAAAACTGATCATGTGAACACTATCCCTTCTTAAGCTTCACTTCATGCTTTTTTCCATCCGAAATATTCATGTACGGTACACATGATATTTGCGTCACAACATGACAGTTCCATTTTTGAAGCATAGAATTTTACTGACAAGATTGTCTGTATGGTGCATGTGGCGCAAACTTGAACTTCAAGCAGTGTCTCAAGTGACTGGAAGACTTGAACATGTGAAAAAGCCTTATTGACAATATTATAAAGATGCGAGAATATGAAGGTATTGGCCAAATAGTGAATTCTATGGTCGCTTTATCATGTTTTCTCCTATTTGATATCCTCTAGATCTGTATAATAAACGGATGACCTCTTAGCAAGTTGTGAGTTACTGGATTTTAAGATCCATGATGCGTTTGACTTGCTTTCTTTTTGTGATTGACTTTAAGTATTTGCTAAGCTAGCGCTAGAGTGCTTGAATAATCTGTTGGGTCAGTTTCCAATTCCATATTATGTCAAGAGATTTTGTGGATCTAGTTATTCATATCTTTGATCACCATTTTTCTTTTCAAATCAATGATTAGTCCATATCTCCTCCATGATTAACTTTCCAGTTCTTATCACAATTTCGGTTCTCATGCTGTGGCTCTATGAACATCTTTTACTTGAGCTGCAAATGTCAGGTTATTTCTTAATCTGAAACTAGTCAGGCATTGTTTGTGTCAGTAGTTTGGTTTTTCTTCCTGATATTTCTGGTTTAAGGATATATGAAAGCACTCAATATCCTCAGTTCAGAAAATACAGGAATGCCAAAACTGAATGGTGCTGCAAAGTATGCAATATGGAGAAGAGCTTACTGCACAATCTTGATACTGGGTGCTCTGGCCCTTCTCTCTGTTGCTAGCTTGTCTAAATTCTTTATCTCTAAATCCTTTCTTGACCCTGAATCTCTATGCAACCATTTGAATCCTGAGGAGTCAAAAGAAATTCGAGGCAATGCGATTATAATGGCTCAAAATGTAATTCAGAAAATTCAACAAGAATTGGAGAGCTTAAGAGATGCAGAGTCAGATACAGCTCCTGTTACAGAAATGAGTGCGTTTCTTGCTGATATTTTAGGACTCTTGGAATCCATGGGGGCATCTCTTTCAGATGATATAGGGACTGATCAGCATAAAATCAGTGCTGCCAATTCTCATCCACTTTTGAAAGCAAAGAAACGATCTGATGAGCCGGCTGATTACTTCCTCCGGGAGGAGATTCGCAAGTATGTGAAGATCAAGCCTAATAGGTTGAGAAAACAGAATTTCATGGGGGCTAATGGAACTTTCACTAGTATTGGCCATGCTTGCTTTGCCATGAAGGAAGAGCTTGAGGAATACATGAATTATGACATAGGTGAAATCTGCAATGATGACTGGAAACTAGCTCAAAAGCTCATGGTTCATGGCTGTGATCCTCTCCCAAGGAGAAGATGCCTTGCAAGAGCACCTCGGCTATACATGCAGCCATTCCCAATCAATGAGTCCGTCTGGAAACTCCCGGATGATAGAAATGTTCGGTGGAGTCAGTACCGGTGCAAGAACTTTGCTTGCCTTGCCGGGAACAACACTCGCAAGGGATTCTTCAAGTGCTCAGATTGCTTCAACCTCACTCATCATGAAATGCCCAGATGGGTAACATTGGATCTCAATTCTGAAAATCAGACTTCTGATTTCCTAATATCTGACGTGCTTCAGATCAAGCCTGGAGAGATCAGAATAGGATTGGACTTCAGCGTTGGAACTGGTACTTTTGCTGCTAGGATGAAAGAACACAATGTGACTATAGTTTCTGCAACTATCAACCTAGGAGCACCCTTCAATGAAATGATAGCTCTCAGAGGGCTTGTTCCTCTATACTTGAGTATAAATCAACGGCTTCCATTCTTCGATAACACCCTCGATTTGATTCACACAACAAGGTTTCTGGATGGGTGGATTGATTTTGTGCTGCTGGATTTTGTTCTGTATGACTGGGACAGGGTTCTGAGGCCAGGTGGATTGTTGTGGATTGACAGCTTCTTCTGTATGAAGGAGGATTTGGATGATTACTTGGAGGCTTTCAAGATGCTGAGGTACAAGAAACGAAAATGGGTAGTTGTTCCCAAGCTTGATAAAGGTGATCAAGAGGTCTTCTTTTCTGCTGTCTTAGAGAAGCCTCCTAGACCATTCTGATAATCTCACAGCAAGATTTGAGGTTCTTTTTGCTAATAATGATAAGCCTCCTAGGTATAATTTTTGTGATTACTGATAATTAAGTTCTCTAATAAAAATATGACACGAGAGTATTTCTCTGCAATTCATGTCTTCATTAAAAACTTTAGAGTAAACCAAAAAAAAGGGGGGGGGGGAATTAATGTTAGAACATTCTCGTACCTCAGGTTGATGTTGAAGACAGGTTTAGCTTTAATTTCTATACCGTAGAACTCAGTGTTTTGCTATGTGATAAATAAAAGAGACGTCAATAGGTTTTTACCCCCTTGTTATCATTTTTGCAGACTGTTGAGCTTTTATCAATTCATCGCTGTGATTGTGAAGTTGTGAACAGTTTACTATTGATAAGTTTAAAGTTTAGCAACTAAACGATTTTCTGCTCAATCTCTCCCTCCCTCCCTTAATGATTGCTGTTTTTTTTTTTTTGTCCTATGGTAAGAAATCCCCTATTTTGTCTTAAGTGTAACATTTTAAAGCTCTTAATCCAAAGCTGCCATTAAAACTCTGAATTTAGAGAATTGATTTCAACTTAAATTACAAAAAAGTTGAGGATATATTGCTAATTTACAAGACACTTTTGAAGGCAATTTGGTGTCATAAAATATAAGGTATTTTAATTAAAATAAAGTTTTCCTAATTATCCTTGTTTCAATATAACATTTCTCTCTTTATTATATTTTTATTTAATTTTTTTACAAATAAAATTATATTAAATAAAGAGTATTTTTAAAAGAATGTGTTTTTCTAAATAAAATTGTAGTATAAAAATTATAAAATATATTTCATGAATTTTATTAATATAAATAATTTTATTAAAAATGTTTTATAAAATGGGACAAGTGAGTATGTTGTAAAGACATCAAAATTAATTTATATTCTCATGAATTAGTTAATAACATTTAAACTTATAATTTTTTATATTTATTTTTATTTAATGCAGTGTTTTACTGTCTTCATTAAAAAATATTATTAATTACACCCCTAATTAAAGGCATTTTAAAAAAAAAAGCTTTATTAACTATAACTTGAAATGTCTAAAAACTAGATGTCCTTTACTCAAACAAAGCATGCGATTGATAATGATTGTAGAATTTTTTAAATTATGTACTTATCTAACATTTTAGTCATGTTGCAATATTTAAAAATATTGAAAAAATAAAAAATTTCAACAAAGCCGAATGTATTGCGTGGGAAGAGATTAAAAGAATAAAAATAAAAATTGCAACAAAGTTTAAATAGTCTCTTTTTGGTAAGTATATAAACAATAACGCTTTGTATAAATTTTACAACCTTTGTTTCAAAAATTTGTGGTTATTTTAGAGTATAATGTTTTTTTAAAAAGCCAAATAATATTATTTTATAATATAATGTTATTTGACTAAACTATCCTTAATATTATAGATAAATTAACTTATGATTGTTGTAGTTTTTGAAGGGGGTAAAATTGTACATAAATAATTAGTATTAGTATTCATTAAAATTATATGACAATTATTTAAGGAAAAGACAAAAATATTAAAAGTAACAGATATTTTAAACGAAGATTATATTTATATTGAGTGATCAATAATAAATACTCCCTCCCTCCATTTTAAAATACATTTGTTTTAAAGTTTAAACACATGTTAAAACTTAAAAGAGGTAAAAAAAAAAAAACACAAACACACACAGATTAAGAAATATAATTGCTATATTAAAATATTGATTACATTGTCAAACTTGACTACCCCTAATTATTGTTTAGAATAAATTAAAATTATTGCAATAAACAAGTGTATAATAAAAATATTAATAATACTGCATTGAACATCTTAAAGGACTTACCTAACTAATGTTGCTTCCTCTTACAAGGTGAGTGTTCAATGATATGGTTTGATTCGGCTTTGACCTAATCTTAGACAAAACCATACCCATTGGTTTGCAATTTGCATAAAAAAAGAACGCTTGATTCGTTTTTCTATTGAAATCAATTTGGTTCACTTTTTAAGCAAATTGGTTCAATTTGATTTATTTATAGATCAAATGAAAAATTGAGGGGGAAATGAATACATTTTTTTTCCCATTCTATGATGAGTAGAAGAAAATATAGAAATACAATACATTCTATTAGAATATCTTTAAAGAAACTCATCAAACTTCATCGAGAGATTGAAAATCACTATTCAACATATAAACTGAGAAAGAAATACAGTGGCAGATCACTTTGCAAAGCCAGCATTAAGTAACTGGCTTAGGTTTTATAGGATTTTTACTCCGTCTTTTGATGTTTTAGACTTACTGCTTTAGATTCTAATAACCTCAATCAGTCTTAGTCTGGCTGTGTGGTTTGTTATTAAAAAATAAAACAAAAGAAAGAAAGAAAGAAAGAACGAACGAACGGCGACTAGACTAAGATCCTGCAAGTAATTCAACGATGGCTTTTGATCACTTCCAGACTATATAGTCTGATTTTTCTGGAAAAAGTACAAATTTTATTTATCGCGAACTTGATCAAATTTCTATGGGCACTACAGATGAAGAAGACAATTCTACTTTATTAGAATCTTTACCACTTAAGGAAATCAAGGGTATAGTTATTGATCTTCCTATTGTTAGGACCCCTGGACACGTCACGCGTTTATCTTCCAGAAGCATTTGGACTTGGCACATCAAAGTATCTTTTGAGATGATTTCATAACTTTTGGAATACGGCTTATCTTCTGGCCCAAAAAAAAAAAAGGATTCAGGTTATCTACTTAAACTAGATTTAATTCCTGTGCATCGCACGGGAACTTTTTAACATGTACAAGATAAAAATAAAAATAATTATAAGAATTTTAAAATTATTTTAGAGTACTTATAATTTAAAGTAAAATATGTCATTCTCCTTCTATTTAAAATTTATATAAATTTTTTTTAAAATCAATATATAAAAAATATAAACGTTTCTTCTAGATTTTATTTCCATCCATCCAAACAACTAGTTGACAACTAAGTCATATATGTTGGATTTGAATTCAGATAACTTTTTTTAAATATAAATGTTATCTAAAAATTATTCATGTTACACCCAAAACATTTAAATGATATATTCTTTTAAATTTTCATTCTTTTTTTAAATTTAATATTTATAAAACTTATTTATTTATTATTTTAAATATATAAGTTTGCTAAAATAATATTTTAAACATGTATGTAAAAAAAAGTTAAGGATTAAAGTATAATTTTATCCTTAAACTATTTTTGAAGGAACAATGTTACTATTAAACTATTTATTGTAGCAATGTTGCTCGTAAGTTAATTAAATTAGAGCAATGTTGCTCTCGTCGTTTGAACATATTTTATTATAGCTAGTGAAATCTATTTTCATGAATTAAGATGTAATTTTATTTTTAAACTATTATTAGAGGAGCAATGTTGTTCTCACCATTTAAAAATCACAAAATTAAATAAAAATAAAATTATAATAACATTAAATAAAATAATATTAAATGTATATATAAAATAAATATAAGAAAAAATTTACAGTATGTTAATACAATATCATAAATTAATAATATTATAAATTATAATTTTATAACTTGTCAAATATAAGTGGATCCTGGTTAAGTTAGGTATGAATAGATTCAAAATATTTACTTTTGCACCTATAATTATCGACCGGAGTTGTCGTTAACGATGTGGATTAGATCAAAAATTATTTTCATAATTGTGTTAGATTGGACAAGAGTTAAGCCGCTATTAAGTCTAAAACCAAAGTTAAATTGGGAGTTAGAGCGTTTTTAAAAAACCAAATAGTTTTAAACATAATAATAAAAAAGCTTAAAAAATTTAAAATAAAAAAATTTTAAAAATTAGATATACTAAAAGCCAACTTTAAATAATTCATATGTATAAAATATAATTTGAGACCATTTCTTTTATAAAGATGTTGATAGTTATAGGTAAAAATATAAATATTTTTGAGTTTATTCATGTCTAATTTAACAAAGATCCACTTATATTTGACAACTGATAAGTTATAAAATTATAATTTATATTTTTTCTTATATTTATTTTATATATACATTTAATGCTATTTTTATTTAATATTATTATAAATCTTATATTTATATATACATTTAATATTATTATAATTTTATTTTTATTTAATTTTATTATTTTTAAATGCCAAAGGCTACATTACTACGATAAATAGTTTAGGGACAGCATTGCTTTTTTAAAAATAATTTAAGAAAAAAATTGTACCTTAACTCAAAAGTTAATAGAATATGAATTATTTTGGTTAATTAATGGGATATGAATTTAATATAGTAAGAGATAGATTAGTCAATAAAATTTATGCTTATTTTTATTTATAATTTATAATTTTAATAAATAATTTTAAATTATTTTTAAAACACTTACCTTTATATTTTATTCTATAATTTATTATTTTATACATATAAAATTAAAAGTAATAAATTATTTTATTTATAATTTATTATTTTGAATAAATTAAATTTTGAAATAAAACTTATCATGTTACCTATGTTCTTTTTATATTTTTTCTAAGTAAAATTTTCAATTTTATTGCATTTCTATGACACACATTATTTTTGCCAAAAATTTTATCAACTGCCAATTTTTATTGTGAATCGTACATGATCTTTTAAAATATAAAAATTTTATTATTTCCTACCTCTTGAATAAATTTTTAAAATTTGAAAATGAAAATATAAATAGAAATTTTTTTCTCCACATGCAAATAAATTTTATTAATTAAACAAGTTTCATATTCACCCCATGTTTTCTTTAATGGCATGCCTTACACCCACTTTTCTTTACTATGGGTCTCACGTACACTCATTTTTCTTCCAAATTCAAGGAGCAATTTTTTATTTTGCCATCTCCTCAATTTTATCTTAATTTAAGATATCTCTCTTCTGTTTTAAAAATCAGCTAAAATATTTATTTAGTCTTTTAATTTTACATAAGTTTTCATTTTAGTCTCTTTTTAAATATACTCTTCTAATCCTATTTATATGTCATTTTCAATATGTTTCATTGAAATTAACAAAAACATTAAAA